AAATCTGCTCCACTAAATATATAAAAGGGACCCCAAATGAAGTCTCCATGATAGCGTTTTCATTACAGGCACAGATGGCACCCTTCTCCAGCTCTTGCCCCTCCTTCCCTTCAATACAGCCTTAAGTTTCAACCACCAAATTTGCCCAGAAATATCACATGCGATAGATAACACCAGAAAAGCCCATCTGCACTCTACATTTTCTTATTTTTCTGTCCTCTGTGTGCATCAAACTTCAGACTGATAAGCCAAGAAAAGTATGGTTTCTAGTCAAATGATGCACATGGTACATATCTCTTGTTATCATAGAAATCCAGTGATCTGGAAGTCTGGTGGTCTTTGTGGTGTTTCACCAATAAGCATTGGTATTACCATCATGCTACACTGAAAACTTACCATTTTCCCCTATGTGCCCAAAGCACAGAATACAATAGCCACTTAACAATAACCCAACATACATGCAGTATGCAATCAGATACAGAAAATCATCAATATGCTGGTTCTGTTTCCTAAAATATTTGAAAGAGGTTTTTAAGACACAAACACCTGGATTTAGATGGAAGTTGAGATTGAGTCTGAAAGTCCATGGAAAAGACACTAATATTACAAAGTCTTTAAAGAATCCAACTGTCTCTCTACCTCACAGTATCCTAATTTGGAAAGGTACTGCTTACAGGTAAACCTCAGAAAGCTGACATAGGTAAGACAAGAAGGAAGCATGTGGGCTCTGTTGCCTTTGGTGCAGCCCTAGGCAGAGGAAGGGAGTTGGATGGCAATGTCATCTTAGGATGTGTTTTTTGGATGTGGGAGATGTTATAGAAGCTTAGGTTGAGCTGAAGTATAAGGAGAAAAACGGAAATTAGAGAAACTGAAAAGAAAATGTTGGATGGATCACAGGAAACATTTTTGATCGCAGGAAATACCTGCATTGGTGAAGGTAAAAGCAGAGCCTTGACTATCCAACTCTGAAATTCTAAACATCTTGGAAATGTTCACCTTTCACCATTGTACTCCAGGAACAAGAAATGTCATAAGCCTCCCTTCTTTAACAGGACAAATTTAGTCTTACAAATAAGGAAGAGTTACTGTAAGTATTTATTGAGAATACCATTAAGAGAAGACTCAAAGATATTATTAGAGAGCTTGTATGTGGACACATGTGGTTTTGAGTTATTATACACATATCACACAATACATACAAACTTAAATTATCATGATTTTGTTACTCTTCAATTGGCTCAATGGAATAAAACAAACAAAAATAGAACCCTGGTGGTAAAAGTGACTTTATAGTACAGCCTGGTTCAACCTGCTCTTTTTAAAAGAGAAAGTAAAGCACAGAGTGGAAGTGACTTGAAGACAGCCACACAGAGCTGCAGCACAGGAAGGACACATGGGGACTGAACTTCCCTTTTTCCTAAGGGAAACTTGTCTTGGTGAATGGAAGAGAAGTAGGGAAAATCTCCGTATCTGTAAGTCACACTTGTCCATCCAACAATCTACCTGTGTGGAAACTCTACCAAAGTAGGCTAGCCCAAGAAAGGTGGTTGTGTCTAACTGCTGGGTCATTCCAGAAATATAGTGTATGGTGGTTAAATGTGGTTTGCACAGATATGGGTCAGTGAGTAGCATTCCCTAGACACGACTATCATCCTAGAAAGCTCTAGGAGGTAGAACTGAGACTTGAGGAGGAAGCACAGCAATGATTTGTTCTTCTGCTTAAGTACATGTTAGAGGACAGAGTGCTTGGGCCAAACAATTTTCCTTCGAAGACAAGACAGAACAAAACAATGATCAGATAAGTTTTGGCAAAACAGACAGTACAAATCATTCAAGTAAAAAAGAGAAAAAATAATAAAAAAAAAGCCCAACCCCACAGCATTTTAATGTACTCTCTAGATATTTTTATTTATTTATTTTTTCAGGGGTGTAAAGCCTTTTTCAGAGGCACCTGCTGGAAGGCCTGGATTGGCATTCTGGCTTACCATTTCCCTTAAGCGTCTTACATAACCTCTCTGATTCCTCCAGCTGACTCATGAAGCAGAAAATTCCCAACTACCTCCTGCCTATACAATTACAGAGCATTTTTATGACCTGAAATCCATTCAATAAACACTCCTCACTACATATCATGTACCATTTAAAGTGTTAGCTGCTACAGAGATGAGGCGACTAAAACAGTGCCTCTTGTCCTGCAGAAGCTCAGCCTACTTTAAACAGGAGGCTGTGACACATTCACAACTCAGGTAACTGCAGTATGATCAGTGCTAGCTTAGCTGTGCAAACGGAACAGCTATCGGAAAGAGGAGAATTTGTTAATTACCCTGGCAGATACTGTCATCCTAAGGTGCTATTTTGATTGTAACTTTTAAGGAAACGAGTATAAGACTGTGGAAATCTCTGTAGCTAAGCCTGAGTCAATGATCAAATGCCTCAGTCATCTCTCAATTGTAATAATTATTGTAACTACATGGAAACACTTCATTTGTCTGTTTAGAAGCACCATGGCCTCACTCATTACTACAAGCAGCGATTGCTAGTGTACATCATGAGCAATGCCAGGCCCTATCAATGAAGGTAAACCTGATGCTGCCGTTAATTACTGCATAGGATAGAACACCCATTAACACTCTTTCATTAAAAACACAAAAACCAGTTGTTGGAAAAAGTTCATTCTTAATGATCAAACTCAAGGTTGGAATGAATAAGAAAACCTGTTACACAAGAATCAACATTCTTCTCTGTTCTCCAAATCTCTTCACCCAAAGAGATCTCTTTCTATAGTGGACAAAATCTGACCTGTTTTGAATCATTCGCTAATTTCATTTACTGGAAAAACACAGACAATGGAGTTGAAATTTTTTGAGGTATAAAAATGAAAGTCTATCTGCTTTTCTTGTTTGTGCTCGGATTACCTGCATTTGCTGAGTGACTTTTCTTGTCTCTAGATAGCTGACCAACTCACTTCACACATAAGGCATGAAAACAAGCTTTGTCTTCTGATGAATACATTTTTATTATGTACTTATTAATAGTCATATTTGATGCACAGAAGACAAAGCTTCAGTATAACCATCTTTAAAAGCCAAAGTGTGAAAGGAATCAAGTCAAATGATGCCATATCCACAGATAACAACAGCTGTAGTCCTTCTGCACTGATGCATTGATAAGCTGTTCCAGCTCAGGATGTGGCCTCCCAAACCAAATCACAATCTGAACCAACTTAGGCAAGTGCCTTCCTGAAAAACTACCCAACACAGAAAAGAGAATTGTCATTATGCAAAGAAGCAAACTCCCTTAGATAACTGGGACCCTGGTGTGAATTAGCCACAGCATGGTCTGTTAAATGATGTACTCCAAAGCCCAGTTTGCCTGTTGGTCTAGGAAAAAAAGAAGGCTTTATTTTACCAATGCCTCATTCCAGAGGATGTAGCAGCAGAGGGTCAGGCAACAGAGAATTCTGCCACAACCTATTTCTCTACAAACAAGCACACACGTTCACACTAAGGTAGGCACGTGGACTGTAATCCCTTCTTAGTAGAAAATACATTTTAAAAATGAATCCCCAAGCTAGAGTGAATTACCGTGATAGCCACAGCCGGAGGGAGTCCAACTGATGAGAAACGCAGATCTGGCCACCAGCTCCGAGACGCCTCGGACCACAACACTGCTGGGATCTTTACAAACTGGCTTGTTCGGGTAGGACACCTACCCTCCTAAAATCGCGTTTACGTTCCAGGAAAAGAAGCCACCCTTAATCTTTGAACTGTGCTGCTCTCCCTGTATCCATTTCTGCTGAACACAGCACTGTTATCTTTCAAAGATCGAAGGAAAACAAGGGAGAATTGCACCAATGTAGATCTCAGAAGTAAGCCCCAACTACAGCAGCGTCAAATGGTATCTTCAGCAACTAGGAAAATCTCGACGTGCTATCTGATCGACGCAGAATGAGGTGCGCTGTGCCCGGAACCACACTAAGCCAGGCATCACTGCAGCCTGTGTCCCTGCCAGCTCCCCCCATGCGCTGAATTTGGCAGGAAAGAAGTTACCGTGCCCAGCCTCTCTGCGCAAGATGAACAGACCACATATTTACGCTCCCCCAATCTGTCCAGTGGCTGGGACTTCTGAGCAGCAAGGCCATCAGAAAGCCCTGGAGTGGAGGATGGAGTGCCATACGAGTTCTAGAATTTTGCTGCATTGTCATGGCTCCGGGTAAAGTATGGGGAATGTCTTGGCTCTCCAACAAAACAGACTGCAAGTGGTTTCTCCAGCGTGCCTCTCCTTCCCGCCTGTCCCTCGCCCCTCTTCCCCCTGTGTGCAGGTAGTAACGGGGTGGGCGAAATGAACAGCTACTCCTGCTCAAACTCAGGTGTCAGGCCCAGCTGGGAGGCACAGCCGGACAGGGACAGGGAGGCGCCTGGGGAGCACCCAAGCCATGCATCTTTCCAGCTTGTCACCACCCAGGGGAGCAAGGGCCGCACCTGGCCACAGGCTGCCTGAGCCCTCCGTGAGCACTGGAGAGCTCCGGCGGAGACTGTGGGCGCTCTCTGGGCTCCTCACTAACATTGCATGGGATACAATTGTCTAAAAGCACATCCCGAGATTTGGTTCACTAGGAGTGGGTGTGGGCTGGGAAGGGGGATTACGTAGGTTTCTCCGCCTCCCCCCCCCGCACTCCCCCCACCTCCACTGGGAGGGCGCCGAGGGGCGGGGGAGGCGTTGCGAACCCGTTTGGGGGCTTCTTTGTTTCTCTCGGGGACCCTCAGGAGGGCCCGATCCGTGTGCTATACCCGAGCCCCAGGATGCCAGCCCGGCCTGGGCGGTAATGCACCCCGGGCTGACAATTGAACCTCGCGGGAGAAGCGAGAGGGTGGGAAGGAGGGTGGATCCCAGCCCTGGGGAGGGAGGGCGCTGCTGGGGCCTCGGGAGCGCCGAGGAACCCTCCCAGAGAAGGGCGGGGGAAGGGGGCGGCTGGCGGTCTGAGCTTGGCTCCCGCTTACCTTGGCAGCCCGGGACTGGGCACAGATCATGCTCCGGTTAGCGCGCAGGTTAAAGCCGGGGGGCGCACGTGCCCTGCATAGATGCCAGGCATCCAGGACTTGCTTTGCAAACCCTAGGCGACCGCCCTCTTTCGCCGTGCTCTTTTTGCCTGGTATCCTGAAACAGCTGTTGTCAGGACCACCGCCACGGTGGAGCAGCACGAGGCTCCCTGAGTGTGTGCAAGCGAGGAGGGGGCCGGCTGGGTCAGAGGAACACTGCGTTGCTGTTCCAACAAGGACGCCCCGTGCGTGGTAACGCAGCACACTTTATTGCTTTATCCTCCCTCCTGCATCTCCTCCCTTCCTGCCTGCTGCTCTGTGGGTACCAGACTCCGGAACCAACCAGGAGCCAGGCTTGCTCTCTTTAGCGCTGCTCCGCCCTGCACCCTCCACGCAACCCGCCCCCCTCCGCCCCCGCAGTAAATATATATTGATTCTTGTTACCGCCGTCCCCATCCTTCCAACACCCAGCAGGCAAACCGGCTTTTTCTGCACCAGCCACGGCTCATCAGCCCTTTTGTGTATGTGCAAACAGTACGTTCGGAAAGGACAGGACGACAGGACGTGGTACAGACACCCTAGGCAGGTACATTGTGACAGGTGTTTTAAACACCTTATACAGTTATGCGCACTCCTAGACACACTTTAGAGCAACCTCCTGGGTTTTCACAGCAAGCACATAAAACAAATATTGCTATTACAAATGCAAAGAATGAAAATAGTCTCAGAATATCCATTGTTGGCAAGCCTAGCTCTCCAGACAACTCTGATATGATGCTGTTGCACTCTGTCAGAAAGCTAGAGCTGGAGAAAGGGATGTCTGAACCCTTCCAGCCAAGCCAACCAAGAGGCCTGAGGAAGTGAAATGCTGGTCACTGATTATCACCTCCTCCACATAAATTCTTGTACATTTGGTCCATTTTTAGGTTGCATGTGTTCACATAAAGTGCAAAGATTCTTAGCACATGATCACCATAATCCACTATTCTAATTGCATTCTTCAGAATGTGTATTTTTCCCCCTAGTTTAGTCACTTTTTTCACACCCTGAAAAATGATCATCTTTCCCTGTCCTAGTTACTTTCTATTGCTGTGATAAAAACACTGACCAAAACCAACTTGGAAGGAAAGGGTTTATTTTATCTTACATATCCCAGGTCACAGTTCATCACTTGAGAGAAGTCAAGGAAGGAACTTATGGCAGGAACCTGGAGGCAGGAGCTGAAGTACAGACCATGGAGGAATGCCGCTCACTGGCTTACTCCCCTGTCCTGTGTTCATCCTGCTTTCTTATACAACCTAGGACCACCTGTCCAGGGGTGGCTGGGCCTTCCCACATCACTCAACAATCAAGAAAGTGCCTGATGGACATCCCACATGCCAATCCAATAGGGGAAATTCACCAACTGAGGTTCCCTCTTCCCAGGTATGTCAAGTTGACAATTGAAGCTTTCTAGCACATCCCCCCTATCCCAAACCAAGACCGTCTCTAGAATAAACTCCAGAATCCTTTACTGAAGAGCTGAACACAGCCCGCACCCCAGCCAAGTCTCCTTCCCACTTACATGACTGGCAACTTCTCAGTGGTGCCCATTTCACTGGTTCACCTCTTCTCATCCTTTACACTCTCACAGTAGGGCCTTTCTAGAAGAAGAAATCTTGGACCAAGTGGAACCACCCTTACCAGCCTTCTCCCTTTCTACAGGGAGTGTGTGCTGGATAGCTATAGTGTCACACCTGGGTAGAGGGAGCCTCAGCTGGTGAATTGCTTCCATTGGACTGGCCTGTGGCCATGTCTGCGGGGCATCTTCTTGATTATTGAGTGATGTGGGAGGGCCTAGCCCTCTGTGGGTGGTGCCACCCCTGGGCAGGTGGGTCTGTGTTGTATAAGAAAGCAGGCTGAGCAGGGGCCAGGGGAGTAAGTCAGTAAGTAGCAGTCCTCCATGGTCTGTGCTCCAGCTCCTGCCTAGAGCTCCTGCCCTGAGTTCCTACCTTGGGCTCCCTGATGAACTGTGACCTGGGAGATGTAAGCTGAATAAACCCTTTCCTCCCCAAGTTGGCACTGGTCAGAATATTTTGTTACACCAATGGAGAGACAACCCAGGACAGAGTGCATTCCTTTCCTTCTCTTCTTTCACTTGGGGTGCTTGGTGCTTTCTCAGTCTGACAGCAGTCAGATCTACCCATCAGAGGAGTTTAAAGCTGACTATTTTTTAAAACACAGCTAAGAAGCCACGTAGAATATTGACCACCCATTTCATCAGATTTTACACCTGAATTAATATAGAACTCCTATCTGAAGGAAGCCTCCAAGAATAGACTTGCTTAGTGGCAACAATAGACACCAGAATCAACCGAACTTTGATAGCTCCAAACAGGAATTTTAGAGAAAAAAGCAAAACACAAGTGTATGAACTAGCACTGATGGCTTCTCAATGCATACGGTATCATCAAACTACAACAAAGGATAATTCTTCCCTTCAATTAATTGCCAAGATATTCGGCCTGATTTTCAGTGGTGCAGTATCAAATTGGCTCAAGGAGATTTTCTGTTTCATCATGGAGATGACAAGTCAGCCTCTCTCTGAGGGTACGTGATGCAACATTCCTGAGCTATGTTTTATTTCCCCCTAGGCACTTTTTTTTCCTAAAGCCTCTCATCTTAGAGGGTGGACTAGATAACCAAATTCCTGTAAAGCACCTTCTACAAGCCCCCTCTGCAAGAGATCTTAGCAAAGCTGAGAAACTTGTGACCTGATTTGGTGAGCAGCATCGTCATTGGAAGAGATTTTCTCTGCCAGACGTGAAGGGAGGAAGGAGATACAGCAGTTGAAGCTGTACTCATCCTATAATGTATGACAGGGTCACTCTCTACAGGATGAATTGCATCTTGTACACAGCATCGAGATATGTCACAAGGCAGCCTAGATTGGAGAATGGCTTTGCAACCACTTGGCTTGGGCTAAGCACACATCCCTTTTTGGATAAGCACACATCGCTTTTTGGATAAGGCACCTAGAAACCCAGTAGCAACAAAGACCCCTTCCACCTGCATTAGAATGCATGCACACCCCACTTCAAGAAATGGAATAAGCGTCTCCCCTTAATGATCATCAAACACAGGCAGTTTCTATTCAATCATGCTTTAGTTATTTCTGATAGAAGGTAAGGGGCCAATCCAGCCTAGATTGGCTTTGAGTTGCATGTATAATAAAGCAAACTGTGTCCTTTGAGTGAAATCTCAGGGAGGGAAAACTCCTATTTACTATATTATGCTTATGCATAATTGGGTGTGCCTAAGGCTAAAATGAGATATGTTATAGGAAGGGATTTGCATAGTAAGCAAAGACTTGTGTAATCCAAGGCTGTCAATCAAAATAGCGAACCACCCAATGTATGCCCTTAGCAACCAAACCTTTCCATCTCTTGAACCCCATAAAAGGAAACTCCAAACAGTAACCAGCTCTTGAGTGCTCTTTCACTCAGATGGCCCACTGTCACTCTCGATAATATATTCTGATCTGTACTGTCATTTTGCTTTAAATAAAATTCCCTGATACTTTGCAATCTACATGAGGCTTTCAATTCTTTGAATAAAAAGCCAAAAATTTGAAAACACTTGACCCAGACTCTGGTAATACTCTGATAATTCTATTGGTAATACTTAGGGCTTAAGGCAGAGAGTAGTATTTCAGAGACCAGGGTGCCCAACTTTGGTCAGCATGATAAATTACATACATATACATATGTAATCATGGAAAGATGGTTTTTAATTCTGAAGGATAGGTAAACCTGTATATGGCTACTGAATGGTGGTGGCCATCTTGGCAGCTGTAAAAACCTTACGGTAGTTTTGGTCAAGAGTAAATAAATCAGAGACTGGAATTTTTTTTTTTTTTTTTTGTTTTTTTTAGACGGGGTCTCCCTGTAGCCCCAGCTGGCCTGGAACTCACTATGTAGACCAGGCTGGCCTTGAGCTCACAGAGATCTGCCTGCCTCTGCCCCCGGAGTGCTGGGATTAAACATGTGCACCACTACACCTGGCCAGAGACTGGAATTATATAAAAGATCATGGGAATATCTCCATATGAGTTTATTCATTCAACAGTTTTAGAGTGTGCTAATTTAATTCTTCTTAAAAATATTTTATTTATTATTTTTATTTTATGCATATGAGTGAAGTGTCTGCATGTATCTAAGTGTACCAATGTCATGCAATGCCCGTGAAGGCCAGAAGAAGGTATCAGATCCTCTGGAACTAGAGTTTCATACAGTTGTTCACTGCCATGTGGGTGCTGGGAATTGAACTCGGATCCTCTGGAAGAACAGCAAGTGTTCTTAAGTGCTGAGCCATCTCTCCAGTCTCTGGAGTGTGCTAATTTATAGGAAGAAATCTTGAAGCAGACAGTCCTCAACTTGATAAAGATTAGAACTGAGAGTATGAAAATTTTAATTAAATAAGCAATAGACATTTGATAGGAATAATAACATAATGACTGGTAAAATGGAGAACTGACATCACACAGGACAGAGGCTGTTTGTAATGTAGAGCCAGGTTGGGAGGTGGGGCAGTAAGGTGGGAGCTGAGAGTAGACGTTTTGGTGCCTGAAGTTGAGACTTGAAGGATTACCAGGAATGGCACATGAGGGAGAGGTGAAAGGGTGGACAGCTGTAAAATAGAAGTTGCCTTAGATCTTTGCATGCTGTGATTCTTGTGCCCAACAATTCAAATTCCTGGCATGTTCATATCTTCATAGTCATTTTTACATTGGACAATGTCTGCATGTTTTTGTAGTCGACTGTGTAGACACATGTGTAGAGTTCCTCCATTAACTCGGCTTTCCCTTTGTCTTGACGAGAAGCATAGAGTGTAGCAGAGTAGTTTGATGGCTGTGGCTGACAGCAGGCTTTCCTTGCAGGCTTGAACCCAAGCAGAGCAATGAAATTTGTTAAGATTGTTGCTCGTAACACTGAAATGTGAACCATGTGGTCTCTAGCCAGATTTCTTAAAGCCTCGTATAAGTCCTGTCATCATCCACACCGCTTTATGGACATGCCCTGGCAGAATTTCTCTTGTCTCAATGTCTATTCTATTTCAGTCCCTTGCACGTAATTTCCCTTGATAAATTGCTTGATCATCCTGGAAGTGTTTCTTTCTTTGGAATCTCAGTCAGCTCTGTCTTGGGATGGTTCTGGACAGACCCTTGGGAAACTATCCTGCCACTGGTTTAGGGGTAATTCCAACTTCAGAGCTGGTTGGAACAAATGTTTTTCTTATCTATAAAAACAAGTTTTAGAAAAAACAAAACTATTCTC